AGAGCTGAATGGCTTTTAGCAGTGTCGCTGCTCAGGCCTCTCCCACTCATTGTCCTCCATTCTCCAATTACCATTTCAGGAATGTAGCAGTTCTGTTGTGCAACACACTCCATCACTTGCTCAGTGTTTGATTTAGCTAATAGTTTATCGACTCTGTGCAACACTGTCTCACTCCCCACTGTCCCATATCATATTACGGTAAATGTGACCGGCTGTGAATAAGACGCACAAATATCAGAACTACAGACACGTCTGAGAGTGTGTCTTTTGTGCGCAGACAAAACACGCGTATTAACGGCTTATAAAAGACAAATCATCATCAATCCGTCACGGTGCTTTGTTGTCAGCTGTCTAATTTGCCATTCTGTAGGTGTGTTTACTCCTGGTGGCCCTATCTGTCACAATGGAGGCCTCCAGCAAACAAGCTGTCAGACAGGCAAACAAAAGCCATTAGCTCTTGCATTAGTGGCCGCTGATTGATGGCATTATCCTCAATAAGGATGTGACAAACTGTTGTTGTGCGTCAAATGCAAAACAGAGAACAAGGGAGTGAAAGCAAACGAATACCAGGGTTTTGTTTGCAGGTCTCTGGGCTGTAGTGCTCAAGTCTGATGTCCGCAACACTTGTTACCTGATATCTAGTACTTTTCCATCATATCTTGACTTGTTATGGTCTCAGTCGCTGGATATTGACTGTTCCTTCCCTTTTACACTTCAAGGGATTACACCTCTGGCTGGTTAAAGACTAAAGGTCAGAGTATCTTTACGTCTGTGTTTCCTGAAGAAACTTATTTAGCACTAGTTTCACTTTTAGATACAAATGTATAAAGTTTAATTTGCTTGTTTTAACTTCATCTTGCTGATGTGATCCTCTGAATTGCAGCTGCACCTGGGGATTTAAACCCAATTTCAAAGTGTTAAGAATGAAGGTCAGTGCCAGCTAAGGACGTGATCGGGCCTCTGACCTCCAGCTTGGGAGGAAATTTCTACCTTAAATAAAAGTCTTAAAAAACAAGTGACGGAGGAAAAAATCCACAGTCCTCATTCTGGGGAAAAAATGTATTCAAAATATTAAATTACGTTAATTTGAAGCTTCAAATCAAGAAGGTATCCTCCAAAGAATTCAACATTAAAAATCCTAACTCAGTTGTAGGCTCATATTAGCTTCAAATAAACTTCTGAATCTACAATTGTAAACAATGAGGACTGTGGATTGTGTCCCCGATCACACCCAAAGATTACACCAAGAAAAACATGTCCCATTGTTTATATGGTTACTTCACTTTTGTTATAAGACATACTTGAAACACTGTGACCCTATCCTTTAACATCCCGATTCACCTACACTGAAAAACTGAGGGACAAAATCCACAATCCACTTTCTCCGCAGAAATACTTTCAGCTGAAGCGAATACGAGGCTTCAGATTTCACTGAGTCATTATATTCGTCTGGGTAGGTGTGTGTAGGAAACACTGTCTGCAGAGCGAATTTTGCACTACATCAACTGTAATTCTGGGAAATCCCCATTTGATTCGGCTAACTGAGACTGATGAAGCCGACGTTAGTTTCGGCTGCACTTCAGAGCGCATTTCTGTGCATTTCCTCCAGTGTAGTTGCTCCACAGCAGCCGGCATGGATGGGCTTGCACTCCCATAGCTTTGTCAGACTCACAAAAAGCTTCATACCACTTTGCTCTCGTATGCAGGAACAGTTTACTCCTCGACACCTGGAAACAGACTTTTACAGGTGAAATCGGTGGAGAGAACAGTGACGTAGTCCTGCTGATCTCGTCGGCCTGCGACTGAGGCGGCAGTGAGTTAGAGCAGTTTATGTAATATATAATGATATTAGCCTCAGTTTCTGGATCAAGAGTGAAGCTTTATATTTATATTTTTGCATTAAGGGGTTACGGCCGATGCAAAGTTGCTGTGATCACTGCTAACAGTGATGTTACACAGCTGTTGTCATTGTCGCCCTCAACCACAAAGTGGATAAATAAAATCTAAATTTATTTGCAATTACTGGGGTTTATAATTTAAACACAACACGGCCTGATCATGTACGACACATCTGTGCGATCTGTGGATGAAACGTAAAATCCTACACAGGAGGCAAGACAGTGGTGCAGAAGTTTAATTCCATCCTGAGGGTGAGATACGGTGTGAGATCGGGAGGCGGGCTGGTGGGAACATTTTAATTGCAAGATACAAGTGGATTTTCTCTTGCAAGATGTCTGAGCTCATCTCAGGTTTCAGGGGCCAGTTGCACAAAACACCTGAAGATTTTCGAGTCAAGGTTTACTTGAAATGTTCACTTAAGTATCTGTAGGTTTCTCCTCTTCTTAGTCTTTAACTTAAGCAATAACTTAGTCAGTTAAACTATTGCACAAAACACCTTAGGTTGAGAAACAGTTGCACAATACACCGTTAAGTGTCATCCTTAAGGTTTCCATAAAATGTTCACTTAAGTATCTAAGGTTTAAGAAATTTACCGCTGTAAAATCTCTTTCACTGCTGCGAATGCCTTAACTTTTAACTAAGGAAACCTTTTAAGAGATTCTGTGCAACACCTTTAGGTAACTCCCTCAGCTGAGGAGAAATTAAACCTTAAGGTGCTTTGTGCAACCGGCCCTAGATATCCATCAGTCGCTGCTGCTCGTTGGCTTTAAAAGGAGCCAGGCCAGTTGCGGTGGTTTGGACACCTGATAGAGAAACCTGTAGAAGGAGAAGTACGGGCCGTGTTCAAACAGGAAGTGACGCCACGGAAGACCCAGAACACTCAGAGACATAATACACCCCACCTGGCCTGGGGGGTGCCTCAGGATACTCCAATAGGAGCTGGAGGATGTGGCTGAGAAGGATTCGTGCCGCCATCTTGACCCGGATCTGGATAAGTGGCGGTAAATGGACGGATGGTTGGATGGATGGATGGATTTGTTGAGCCTCAGTGTTTCTGCTTGTCCCGAGTCGATTTTCCATTTTGAGGAAGTGGAGCTATCAAAGGTGTCAGGAATGTGAACCCTTGCATTCACCTTGAAAAGAGCAGTTTGACAAGACGTGGGGTTAAACTACAAAGGCTGTCACTTTCAAACGAGAATCACACAAAGAAAAGGTGTACTAATGATTAACCGACTCTGTCCAACACACACACACACACACACACACACACACACACACACACACACACACACACACACACACACACACACAGTCTGTTTATATGGAAAATACCCTTGTGGGCTCAAGTGTGTATTTTTGCAGAGTTCCATCTCAGGTTGAACTCCCCGCTGACAGCTATGAATAGGTTCCCTGTATTTGTTTCACATCACTGGCAAAAGAACATCAAACACTTCAGTTTGTCAGGATCAGATTTCCCTGAAGCTGAATTAAATCAAGCGCATTTTTGACCTCAGGGAAAGATACTCCTTCGCTGCGATGCGAGCCAGGAGTTAATATCTGGAGAGGAGTTAACGTCTGAGTTTGGGAGGTTCAGTCAACACTAATGGAGGATTCACCTCAAGCAGTGTTGTTTTTCTGGCTTTTATTTCTACACATAATATAAGAAATAAATAAAATAAATAAATAATCTCACAGTTCGGACTGAGTGGGTGTTATATCTCAGACTTCAAAATGCTTTAACTGTCACTCCAGCAGTTTGATTTTATCAGCACATCATGTTTTCTCCCTTAGTGATTAATAAAACTAATATTTAACGTTACAACCTTAATGCATTGTAACTTCAGCAGCTCCCAAAGGGAGGAGTGTGGACCACCAGCGATGTCAAAGGTTCCCAGGGGAGGGTTTGTTCACTAGTGGTGCAATGGAGCAACGTTTTAAAGAGCGTGCCTTGGTTTTATTGGGTGACGGATAATACACGGTCCTGCTGCTGGTTTCACCCTGTAGGTTGGCGTGTAAGTACAACAAAATGTGGACCAGCAATACGACAAAGGCCAAACTGCGAGCTAACTGATGTCAGTATTGGTATTTGAGAGTTTAAAAAATGCAATATGATATATCAGACAATTTGAAATAACTTTTATTTACATAAACATGAAGTATAAAGTAAACAAACTTTTCTTGAGAATTTTCCCTTCTATTAATTGAAATGCAGATATTTACTGAATGGGGCATTTAAAAGTTGAAAAATAAACTTATTATTAGGGCTGACAAACTTTTAAAAAATGTTTTTAATGTATTGCCTTTTGTTAAATATAAAATCTGGGGGCTAAGTGGGTGTCATTAAAAAATAAATCCATATTAATAGCCCATGATGATTTTTTTTGTCATTAAATATGAATATCAATAATTGATACATTAACCAATAAATGATTTTCTCTACTAAAGAAGGCTATAAGTAGTTAATCATCAGCATCCAGGGGGTGTAGTGTATCCACCTGGAGTAAACCACAACTTTTCTATCAATAGTTATTTTGCCGTATTGACAATATAGGCAAATAGACAGACATTATAAAGACTGGCTGCCAAACCATGCATTTTCCATTTTAATGTGTTGTATTTTCTTCAAACAAAAATCCTGATGGTCCAAATATTCTTTTTTACATTAACCATTAAATGATTTGCTCTACTAAAGAAGGCACCAGGTGTAGTGGAGGATCAATCCACCTGGGCGACCCCACACATTTTCTATTGATTATCTCACCTTTTGATAAAATGCCTAAACTGTTAAAAAAAAAGAAAAGAAAAAAGAAAGACATGAAAATCAGAAAAAGTGTGAGATGTGATAAAATAGTTTATGGATATTTTTAGACAGCCCAGAAGTGAGTGGTTCCTCCTGAACTTGATTGACACATAGCTCCAGATGGGAGGGTCGATTCCAGTTGAAGTCCCGCCTCGCAGTGTGTATCTTGCTGGGGACTTGAGGCTATAAAATGAAGGAACTTACAGTAACCGGGACGCACTGTTTAGTTGGAGTTCCCTTTGTGAACTCCTGCACAGGAACTAAAGTCAGCCTGATGCTTTAATCACTGCTCACACTGAAAACAATATCGGTTGTCGGTTTCCCCGCTCTCACTTCCAAGCAGAAAAAAAAAAAACCCCAAAAAACAACCCTTCATCAAGTCGCCGGGTGGAGAGACGCACAGAGCGGAGCCATGGCAGGGGACGGCTCGGACCAGCGGGCGCTGCAGTATGAGCAAACTCTGGTAAGTTTCACTTGTTGCCACTCGTGAACTTTGTCCACTGACCGCACGGTACGTGTTGTCCTCCTGCGTTGGAGAGGGAAGCCGACCAGGCTCCATTCACGAATCTGTCAACTTTAACGCCGCTGCCATGCTGCGTTACAGCAAGAAGTGTGCACGAGCGAGAGAGAGGGGGGTGGTTAAAAGTTATAATTTGATTGCAATAAACGCGTGTTGGTGTGATTTATATGAATGCCGAATTAAAAAGTGTGTCTCTGTGATTCGGGATATTTCTCCCGGAGTGTGTGTGTCTGTCGATAAGCAGGTAAATTGAAAGTTGTCAGATTTTTAAACGAGGTTTGTGCTGTTGGAAGCAGCGTGTGACTCTGTAAGTCCTTTTTTTTATTTCCTCTTTTTTTGTTGTTATTGTTGTGAATTTAAAAGGCTGAATAAGAAGCTGAACACATTGTCGAACACTGCAGGTTAAATGTCTTTTAGCTGGTTGCTTAACAACAGTGCAGGCAGTAAAGGGACCGACTGTCATAACATCTGGATTTGGCTCCTTATCTCCTGTAAGTCAAAACTCCACTGTAAAAAAACACATATTCTTAAAGTAAGAGGTGTTTACAAGTCTGAACACACATTAGAAAACCGGCGTTGTGTCTTTTATTGAATTTTGAAAATGTGCTGATAAATTCGGCTTATAAATTATTTAATTAAGCGTTGAATTTATTCAGCAATCATCAACTTCATGAGGCGGGTTGCCTTTTCCACACAATGTCTTGGTGCAGGCTGAAGACACCGCGGTGGGCGGTAGGGAGCAGTGTGAGGGTTTTAGAAGTGGTGTTTTTTTTAGTGAAATGAAGTGCTGCTTGGTGCTTTATAGATAAGCCGAATTTACAACAGCATCCTAATGATTTGCAAAAAGTCTGGAGTAAAGTTTTTGCATTATGAGTATTTTGTCAATAAGCAAATTAATTCCGACTTTACAGAATTTTTAATGGGATTTTGCATTAAAATCTGTCCCTCCAGAACTATGATTTGCCAAATATTCCAAGCTGTCTGCAGCTATTACATGCAACAGGATGATGTTATCTATCTAGCAGCCACCATACTAAGTGGACTGTCATACACACATGCTAAATCAGGAACTTAAGTCTGTACTGTACATGCATATGCACATGTACTGTACATGCATGACGTGTTGTAAGATGAGATGCAACTGACAGTTGCATCTGCAGGTGTCTGGTGCCTTTTAGAGTGTGAACAGTGATTGAATTTTTTTGAGGTTAGACTTCATAAGCTACCGCATGCCACATAACCATTATCTAAGGTCATTTCCTTTATAGCTCAGATAAGAAGCAGGCAGTCGACTCGTTGTTGGTCTGCAGGCGGCTCAGGAGATGTATCAGCTGGGGGAATATGTTTGACAGTAGACCTAGTTTATACAGCAGGGGGCTCTCAAACATTTGCATGTCACAGGCCTTCAATCACCCAAACGTGGGTGTCCATTGGCCCTGATCAGCATCTCAGTTTTATCTTTGAGATCTTCATAATAACTGATTTAAATCACTATTTAGCAATGGATTGTATAACCTGGGAGATGTGTCGAGGGAGAAACACATGTTGACGTTCTCTGATTTATAATTTAGAGAGATTACACCTTTTCATGGTTTTGCTCCTCCTGAAAGACTCCCTGCATCCCACTTTGAGGAGCATGGATTGGCACCATGCCCCTCAGAAAGATTAAGGGTGGGGTTTGGACTGAGAGTCCCTGAACTGAACTGTGTGTGTCTCTCGTTGAACTTTTCCTGACAAAACTTCTGTCAAGCCTAAAGAGTCTGCTATTTGAAGAGACTAGTTTTATAGGCCAACTGGACCCATTCAGTGGCAGCGAGGCTTTAAATTAAGAAGAGCCACAACTGTAACACTTCTTTGGGCCTCTGTTTCCTTTTTCTTGAAAAAGTTTCTTTGTAAAGGAACCCCCCCTCCCCTCTCCCTCCCCCCTCCCACCTCTCTCTGTGTGTGCTGTTAATCTGCGTGTGTGTTTGTGCGAGAGATTACACAACGTGCGACCCGCTGATTCAGCGCTGGACGCTCTGTCACCCTGGCCGGGTCTCGTGCTCGGCCCTCCGGCTCTCTGAGAAGAACGTGAAAGCAGCTCTCTCTCTCTCTCTCTGCAAAACAACAAAAAAAAAAATCCATGCACACCTCCCTTTCTGTTAATCTCAGCTCTCCCTGCTCTGCGTGGATGATTGTTACATGAGCAAAATTGTGAAAACATCTAAATACAATCAAATAAAAATAGCTGGTGTATGAGAATAACCTCTTTTAGCATAAATGAGGTCTCACTGTGCCCCCTATCTCCTCACCGTGGGTTGTAGTAACATGGTGTCTTTGTGTGATGTTGGCAGTCTCGGTGGTTGTGTGGGTTTGTTGTGGGCAGTGGATGCTCAAAGAGGCCAGTGTAGCTTGGCTGTGAGAGCGGCTGAAAGGCTGCCTGTACAGAAATTGTTGCTGGAGCCAGGGAGAAGGAGCACTTGCAAATTAAACCAGCCTCAACATATTGTCAGTTAACGGCAGAGTGATGCGTCGGTTCGTTTAATAAAACTGATTTTAGCTGGTGTCTTTTCAAGAGTAAAGTCAGGTGATTCTTTTTCTGTCTATTTATGCAAAATTACATAATATATGCATATATATATGTAAACTGCAAAAATTTGATTAGAGGCTGCACATGTATGCACGAATGTTTTTTTTTTATCATTTTTCTCCAGGATTTTAGTGTCACATGATCATCTTAATACTGTTTTCAGCAGCTTATTCAAGATTGAAAAGTAAAAGAATGAATTTTGCAATCAGAATTTCTTGGCAAACAGCAGCTGTAATCAAAATGTATTAGAAGGGCTGGACAATTACGCGAAATCTAATCGAAATTGAGATATGGCCAAGTGCGATATCTAAATCGTAGGAGCTGTAATTATTTTTGATGAAGGTCAAATGTGTCACAACACACCATAAATGAAACAGAGATGCCTTGATATCCAGATGTAAAGGAACATGCTTAATTTGGTACACGCCCCAGCAAAAATCAGAATTTATTTATTTATTTTTTAGTGCAAAAATGACCATCCCAACTGAAATCGTGACTCACACTTCAATCGCAATATGATTTTTTTCTTTTGCATATCGTTCAGCCCTAATTAGAGGCTGCACAAGTGTGCACAAATTATTTTTTTTATTAATCATTTTCCTCCAGCATTTCAGTGTCACATGATCATCTTAATACTGTTACAGCAGCTTTTTCAAGATTAAAAGATGAAAGAATGAAGTAATTCTGAAATCAGATCAAATATGTCACTTATTAGAGCCCAGAATATCAGCAAAAATATTATTAGTGACATATTAGTATAATCAACCATTGTCAGTGGCAACCTGAGTCTCAGCAATAACCATGTGTTAAAAGGTGCTGTTAAGGTCTTTGCTGTTATAATGTTGCCCTGCGTGTCATTTATCTATGAACTATTAGTTACAAGCTGCTCTATTGATAATGATTAAAAACAAAAAAGTTGAAATTCAATATTATTTTTTCCGAGCAGCAGAAAAATGTCAAACAAAGCTAAACAGTTGATTTTATTTTGGCACAAATGAACACAAATACAGACACGGGTGTGCGTTTGTTTTTGTAGTTTTCCAAACGTGGTATTTATTGTGTCATTAAATAATAAATGGACCGTCTTGTTATCAAAGGTAAAGTTTTATTAGCAGTTGTACAGTGGCGTCAGTTGTGTCCCAATCACAAGTGAGAGGCTAAATTTTACGACATGTTTTGTGAACGACGGCAGGAGTGTTCCCAGGCTGTACGTCAGTATTGCTCCATTTTAATTAATAACTATGTGCATGTGATGAAACTTTACAACTTGAGTCCTGTGTTTTCTGCAGCAATAAACTCTCCCCTGGTGTTTGTTGTCCTTTTGTCTCAGACTGGATCCGCACCAGGACTCTGTCTGGACTCTGTGGGAAGAAAAACTCGTAACCCAGTCGGCTTGTGTAACATGAGTTAGCTTGTTTGACGTAGCGGCACAGACGTACAGTACCTGACTTGGGTTAAACAGTGTTGACAGTCTTTTGTTTGATCCACAGCTCCTTGTTCTTATTTGTAATAATTTACCGGATAATCATAAAGAAGTGATATGTCAGGCTCTTAAAGGGGCATGACGCCAGTTTTGCAACAACAACAAATGTTAACAAATGTCACAATATACAATATTATCATTTTGATATTAAAATATTGCATATAGCGGGAACTATCATGATATATTATTGAATATTGACCCAAGCCTATAGGTGACGAATCCAATTTGTTTTCTTATCGGGCCACCAGATGTTACATTTTACTATTATAGAGAAAACCATATTTACATTTGTGATTTGTGATTTATGGATTAAAAGTGTCTGGTGAATTGATCTTTACCTTTCTTCCCTCTACCTTTAGCTAACTGACAATAACATAGTGACTCTGCACCTTTAAACCCACACCGTGTGACAAGCTGTCCGTCTATATTTAGATACTGTTAGAGGAGCATTAGACACATTGGACCAAAACAAATCACAAATCGTCTTGTGGCAAAAAAAGTTTGAGAAGATTACACACAGTTACACTCCTTCTCCTGATGGTGGAAAATATTGACAGTAATGCTCATGATGGCGCTGAAAAACTCTCCAGACATTTACGTATGTGGAGATACAGTGGTTGTGAACGTACAGTGTGTTACATCCGTCACTGCATCCTGCCCGTGTCATTACACCCGTGATGCCCCGACTCATACCTGAGCGTCTTGATTCGTTGCGTTTTATGTTCTCCTCATCGCAAACCCTCGCCGGACGGACAGCGATTGTCATGCCTCCTCTTTTTGTCTCGCTGGCTGCCTTTGATGGCTTGTTATTGTTATTACCCGACCATATGAATGTGCTAGGTAATGGTGTGTGTGTGTGTGAGAGGTGACATGGTCTATCTGGAGGCTTAT